AGCGCTGGTGTGCGACATGTATGGCAGCCTTTAGAGCGCGCTGGTGGTCTTTTGCAGCGCGTAAAGCCACGGGACAGTTGGAGCGGGAGGCCTTCCTGAAGAGTCCCCTCTTTATTCTCGCTGCCTTCATTATGTCGGGGGTGATCCATGGGCAATAATTTCGTCCCGAGGAGCGGGTGCGGAAGGGCACGCACTGCTTCTGAATTGCTCCCGCCAGGTCGCACCACAGATCGAAATTACCAAGGGGGTCATTGCCAGTCGTCGTCATGCACCAAGGTGCGAGGTGTGCCAGGCGTGCCAGGTGGCCGTGGTCGGTCTGGTCGAACTTCCATAGTGTGCGTGCATGGTGCCCCCTACGTGGCAGCACAGCGGCGTACGTCACCTCGATCGCCAGGTGATCGCTACCGGGCAGTCCCTCAGAAGTCTCACAGGAAACTATTCGGGTCGGGTCTACCACGAAGAGAAGGTCTAGAAAGCTGGAAGTTCCGTCGCGAGTGGAGTACGTCGATCCAGTGCACGCCTGCGTGAGGCCAGCTGATGACGCAATGTCGAGTAAGAAGTCATCCGAACGATCGCGGGGAACAGGCTCCTCGTGTGTGAACCAGTCAATGTGCGAGTTGAAGTCGCCGAATACCAGTATGTTCTCATAGTTCCTGAGAGAAGCGGCCCGTAACGATACCTCCAGGAGCCTGTATGACTCCTCCCGTATCGACGGCGGGCAGTAGACACAGCCCACTAGGACTGTACTGTGAGGCAGGCAGAGCTCCACGAAGAGTGCTTCGAGATCGTGGTGTTCAAGGTCCGTGCGACGAAAAACGCGTGCCGACGCCGGGAAAGCCAATAGGACACCTCCCCCCCTGCCACACCTGTCTTTCCGGAACACGGTGTAAGCATTCGTGTCGAAAAGTTCGCTGTCTGCTACACCTACGTCGAGCCAAGTCTCCGTGAGCAACACAACAGAACCTGGGGGCAACGAAGACACGTGTGCCTGGAGGTCTACCACCTTGTTTCGAATGCTTCGGCAGTTGCCGTACCAGAACGTTGTCACTTTCCTCCCTCCGCCGGACGATCTCCCGGTTGCAACAGGCGTAGGTACCGTAGGAGGCTGTATCGCGGAGGCCACGGGAAGGTCAAACAAGTCGTCCGCGAAAGGGGGCAGGGAGCAACCCAGGCAATACCACAAATCGTTGCTGGAGCTCAACTTCCTGTACTCCGGCAGAGAGACATATACGCATGCACGGTGGGACCAGCGGTCACATGCATCACAGCACAGCGCGGCCTGGCAATCCAGAACACGTTTGGTACAACGGGTGCAGGTGGTGTGCTGAGGTCCTGGGTTTGAAGCGACGTCGCCGGAGAGAAGAACCGTCGCGTCGACCAGCCACTCGGTACTGAGGCAGAACAACAAGCAGGCAGCAGAGTGTCTCCATCGCGGGGTCGTAAGTCCTTTAAGCCTAACGGCAGCGCCGGGCCCGTTCAAGCATCTCGCGTAGGACGCGTCGGACGCGGAGGCGGCACACAAACCGAGACCGCGAAGGCCCACGCTGTTCGGAGGTGAGATACAGGTGGAGGCACGGTAGGTGACGAGCGACAGCAGCAAGAAAACGGCAAAAATGCTGTGAGACGAGCGGCAACCTGTACGTACGGCCATTTTGCCGTCTATCAAATGGATGAGGCTTTTCAGGCCTCATCCCATAAATCTGATTTCCCCCCCACCCCCTGCCTTGCCAGATGGTATCAACCAAGAGGGAATGACATACAGGCTGAACACAAAGTTGTCTATTAGACGTCGAAAGACGTCTTGGCAAGACGAGCAAGAGGTCTTGTATATGTCTTGGCAAAACGTGATCGCCTAAGACGTCTTGAGTCATATCTTGTAGCCGGCCTGTAGACTTCATAACGTTTCCTCTTTTTCGGGCTACAAGACGTCTTGCAAGGTGTCTAGCTCCTAGACATCTTAGAGACACCTAGAAGACTCCCAATAGGTGAGTCGTCTCTTTGAGATGTCTTTTAGGACGTCTACAAAAAGATATCTTGAGACGTCTTGTAAAGATGTCTTATAGACGTCTCTGCTTAGTCGAGCCGTTTCAAGCCGGCTACGAGACGTCTTGTGTTCAGTGGGGTAGTGGCTGTCCGTACCACAACCTACTGTAATCCTGACCTGTCGGCAGACAAGAGCGGCAGCGCGCGGTGTTTGGTACACACAGAATCCGCAGTGTTTCGTAATGCTATGAGTGCATGGCGCCACTTAAAGGTCATTCTGTTTCCTAAGATATCCACACGTCAATTTGAGGCGCGCAAGTCGCGGCTGCGGTATCTGGTCCTGACCTAGCTGTATGCGGAATAGCTCTCCTACCGCGATTTCGGCGCTGCGCGTGTGAAATAGTTTGCCACAAGGGGCGCCAGCTACCGTCATAGTTATTGCTGCGCGCCAGTTGCAGAGAAGGCATGGGTCGAACACGCGCATACTTATTGGACAGCTCTAATATGAATATGCGACGGAGGATAACCGTTTTCATGGTTATCATTATTTATGATATACGTTTGATAATTAACACATGAAGCCTATTTCAGTTCTTTCAGAAGACATTGTGGGTCATTAGCGGCCGGTTCATACCTTGAAAACCTACCTAGACGCAGGCTTTGCTTTCACTCCTCTTTACATTTTTTTTCTCTCTTTTTAACTTCGTGAAAACTAACTCCAGCCATCTTTTTACTTACCGATTTACAATAGGGTACGCAGCAGTAAACCATACCATTGGTGGATCGTTACAGTTCAAGCTAAAGTACAAGTTGCAGAGCCCGAAAACATAAAAGCAATTCGGTGCTGTAGTCCAATCTGGTTCTACCTCCTGGCACCGCCCTCTTGCCCTTTAATCAGCCAGACAGAGGCGATTAGATCAACATTGAAAAACGGTTGGTACCGCCACTGGCGCCGCTCTGCGGCGAGGTGGACCCTCTGCAGAATAGAAGGAAGAGCGGTAATCACCTAGTGGCAGGGATGGGAGGCCGCAGGGAAGGCAGGCTGTGAGCTGCGTGTGGGTCGTAGAAAAACCTTTACCGCACGCCCTCAATGGAGAAACCAGGCACTGCGCCGGTAACAGCTGGTCCCATAGGGGGCCCTTCTGTCGGCAGGTCAAGATTACAGTGGGTCGTGTTCCGTACTCCCTAGACAACGCCTCCTTTGCCCTAGGGTACGAACAGCCACTGCCATGAATCTAAGTCGAACGCCACGTGGCGTTCGACAAAAAAGACAACAAAATCCCGTCTCTGAGTGTTGAGCAAACAGACACGTCGTCCGTGTCTGTTGTGTTTTTTATATTCTACATGACCACACTTTAAATATTTAAGAATATTTTATCAACAAACTCTTTTGTTGTAGAGGTGTTTTACAAACCTCGTTTACCGACGCCAAATCAAGCGTATAGAAATCACCACAAAGCATTGAGGTTCCTTTCTGGCTTTCCATAGTAATTAATGCTTATTATTTTTTTTAAAGATATGACATTAAAATGAGGGCTCTGTGGTGCTTTCAGCTTTTGTTGTTCACTGTTAACCATATTTTTTGGTGGCGTAGATTATTAAAACTGTACCCCTTCTGCCTCGCTTAAAGGAGCCCTGCAATGACTTTTTTTACTAATTTTTAATTTGCACCGAACCTGAGCGCACTGAATGTAGTAACTTAGTGAAACTTTTCTTTTCTCAAAATTCCTTTTATTTGAAAGTTATAGGCAAATTAAAATTACAAAAACAAGCAAAAAATAACCTCCCTCGTGACATCCTTGGTTGCTTGAGAGTGGCCGTGAACTAGAGAACGCGTAGTGAACTTGTAGAGCGCTCACTGTTGCCGCACTCCATGTTGACGGCGCGAGAGGGCGCCACCAAAGCATCTTCTGGATAGGCTGCATGCAGCGGGCAGCCAGAGCGGCTCTCATTGCATTTGCTGCGTGATTAAATACTAATTCGGCATGACACTTCATTGGCCACAAACGAAAGCAAACACGGGGTAAAGATCGGTTTAGAACGGGAGCCACTTCGTACTGCCATGCCCCGAAACGGCCAAACCGCAAGACAAAGATTCTCGCCGAAGGCCTTCGGAACGCTCGGAGCCGGTCGGATCCTCTTGTCGACCGCAGCGCGGCCGCGTACATCCGGGACCTTTCCGTGCGGCGCCTGATCTCACTACTCCTTTCTAGTATGCGCCGCCTTTTCCACCGCTTGGTGGCGGGCATGTCGATGGGTCATTTCATGTTTTCGTACTTAATGAACTGCATTCGTTTCTTTTCTGCTCTAAAATACTGAACAAAAACTACGTTTATAGATAATTGAAACGGTTCGCGCCACTTATATTTTGCATTTCGACTAAAAAAGAGCTTTTAGCGGCTCTGACCAGTATTTAAGCCCAGGACCAAAGACGTCACATTTTGCGCGCTTTCGGTACCGCGGGTCGCCCTCGTCGGTGGAGGAGGTTTCCGCGTCATCCGGTTAAAATATGAAGCATTGATATTTAGTTACTCTCTCTCTGTGCCCGCTGGCTTGCCCGAACCCCACGAGACGTGGAAACTGCAAAGAAGGTAGGCGCTTAAATATGATTGCAGGGCCCCTTTAACAGATTTTATCTCGTCCGCATACATTGAGCTGCTTGCACATCAAGAAAAACACAGGCCGACAATACAATGTTCATAAAAAAAAATAAAAAAAGGCCATAAACAAATTTGGTACAACTTCGTGAAAAGATTAGTGCCACGTTCAACGGCTTCACGCCGCGCGATAACGTCCGCATGTTTCGTCGCATTGTCACGTGCACCGATTGGGTTTGTCAAAAGCTGCGTCTCAAGTAACAAATAAAAATAAGAAAGAATTCTGAACCCTGCTTAGGTTTGCGTTCACGCCACGCACAAATCGAAGGTTTATCATTGCATCCGCAGCGGAACGCAGCAACGCGTTGGCATCGCATCTATCGCACGGTTGCTTGTTTACATGGTCGCTGGTTTCGTTTTCTCGCCGCTACCAAGATGGCGGACAAGGTACTCGGTGCTCTAGCAGATAGCGCTCTACATTTCGGACATGATCTATTATCGCTCTAAGGCCCTATACCTTGTTGAAAAACACCAAGGGAAAGAAGATGGAACAGGATTTTTAGCTAAATTTGATCAAACCCTCTGTATTCGGCTCTACCAGCGGCTACAGCCAGGCCAGGCTACAGCCGTTATTATTCATCCATCCATCCAATATGGCGGCGACCATAAGCAACGTTGTTTGGTGACTGCGTACGTAACGTGCGTAGTTTATTTGGTATTGCCCCCCAGAAACGCGCAGTTCTCTTCACCTTCAAGTGCCGAAAAGTGTAAATCGAAATGGTGGCAAAGAAAGGTGAGCGTGACATGTCGTACGTGACCCTGGCGAAAACCCGGAGGTTCCTTTCAGGTCTGAGCAAAGAGGAGGTTCAAATGAGGGTGATCTCGGAGATTATCAAGGAGCTTCTCGTAGCGCAAAAGGAGAAACGAGATGTGAATCTCAACAGGTAGGCAATCTGTTTTGGCCTTCTTGCTTCTATCGCCAACAAATGTCATGTCCGCAGCATCAAGGGTTCAATCTCCTCCAAGTATGGACTTCATTCTCAACCCAAGATCGTCGACATCATCGCTGCCATACCGGCCCAGTACAAGAAGGTTAGGCAATCTTGCTTTAAGTAGATTGAAAGTTCAATCGCCAAAATAAATAAATAAATAAATAAGCTGATGAACGGAGTCCGATGACGGAGGCATGCGGTTTAGACTAGCTTGTTTTAGCAAACGCCGTTTTGCCGACCCCAGTAAAGAAACACAGTTTAGAGAAAATGGCGATGAGCCCCCTTTTAGCGAATTCGGCCGCCGCGAACCGGCGTGTACAGATGGGTCATGTGAGTTAGCTATTTTGGACTTGGGTTAACGCGTGCACCAGTAGTGCACGCGCGAACTAGGAAAGCCTTTTTTAAACAGCGTCCCCTTTTCGATAAACGGCGTTTATCTAAACTGAGGCTCTGCTTTCTCTAAACCGTGCTTCGACAAAACATACCCGTTCTCTAAAACGTGCTTGGATGAAATGGCGTTCAATCAATTGTAGTAAGTGTGATGAAACTTTTTAGAATGGTGCCGTCAAAGGGACACTGACAGGGTATTTGTGCTCGCCGAGATTTTTAGTTGTACGTGACATATGAGAGCCCAACTACCCAGAACAGAATTTGCGGCTCGAAATTCGGTTTCTTTCTGCCCCAGAACCGCCGATCGAGAACTGGCTGGTTTGAGTGGGAGGCACTCACTTGATCGAATGACGTTTTAGCGAACGCCCACGTTTCATCGAGCGACACTTTAGCGAATAGTCGGACGCCGCGAAGCGGCGTTTTCGGGTGGGCCAAGTGAGTTCATATTTTTGTAATGAGTTGCCGTAGACTGTCGCCGCGAAGCGGCGTAAAGCGCAGCGCGACGGATGGGTTAACGCGTGCCCCCGTTATTCGCTAAAACGACCATTCGCTCAAATGTCGCCGTTCGCTAAAATGTCATTCGCTCTTGTGATATGGACCCGGTTTGAGTCGCGCTTACCCTCTTTTTCGTGGTCACGGGCCGTTTTCTAAGGTTTGGACACAACCACCAAATTTAATCAGTCATTGGTCATTGAAGGCACACAGTAAATACTAAAAATAGAAAAGAATATGAAGCCCATTTTTTTTTTGGCTTCCAAAAAGCTGCAAATATGTTGACTGAAGAAAAAAAAAAAGAAAAAAAGGTTGCACAGACAACCGGAAGCATTCTGTGCGTTCACTGCATAATTCTCAGCATGGCGTCGTTTGGCGTTCGCGGGACTTGCGGGTGGCAGCGGACGACGGGCGTGGGACCCCTACTTCAGAACTGTTGTTCACGGTACCGGCGAATTCTGTCTTCCTTCGAAAGAGAAATTTTGGAGCGATCAAAAGAATTGATATTCATCCTGTACGACACGCCCGACCAGCAAGCCGATTGCGTGAAGACGTCGCCGAGCCGTCGTTCTTTCTAGTGGCTGAAAACATCGCTCGCTCAAACGTCAAGCACAAAGTGCGTACTTCGAGTTGAATACAGACGCGTACGGTTTCTTTACTAGGTGCGAATGTGGTCAATGCGTGGTGCTGCCCAACTTCAAGCCGGGAGTGCATGTGCTGGAAGGAAATCGGCAGCAAACTTTCCGACGTACAGTTGACCGGCTGCATGAGAACGGAAAAAAGAGTTCCTTCAGTAGCTCAGTGAAAAGGCGTCTGCTTTACACGCTGTGGGCACGGGTTCGATCCCTAGAAAATGTTTGAAAGAAATCTTTTTTTATTTCAAACATTTTGCGATGTTTACATTTTTTTTTTTTTACAGTTATCACTGGAAAAAAAAAAACAGTTGTTGTGGACGATACGTCGCTGAACTAAATGGTATGGGATTCCTTTTTTGTCACCTGTGCCGCACAATGCCACTTTCAGATGCAGGACATGTGAGGCAGCTCTTCACGCAACATCTTGGGAGAATTTTTTCGGAGCTGATCACGAGAATTCACCACGGGCATTCACTACTAATTGCCAACACTTAAATGTACAAAACAAGAATGAGCGGAACAAACATAACTGCAAAGGAATTGCATGGCAAACGGATCCGACAACGCATTTCGTCTGCTGTGCGCAAAAAAAAACAAACAAGAAAAACATAAAAAAAACAATTGCACTGTTGGGTGTAGCCACTTGATTTCTGCCACTCACTCTCTCCTTTCCACTTCTTTGTGCAGTACGAGGGTTTCGGTTTCGAGCAGTTGCGTTTTTTGGCTTTATTAAAAAAAATATGTGGCTCTACAGCAAATTATCAATTCGGTAGTATTCCGACACCATAGTAAATCGCCTGTCGAAAATTTAAAAAAAAAATTTTGGGGGGGTGTCAGTGTCCCTTTAAGTCGGCGCTGCTTTACTCCTACCCCGACGCTCCGAGTTTCATACTCCGAGACCAGCAACTAAATGACGCATAGCATACAGGAGTATGACACGCCGAGGCTGCGTTCCAAACCTACTCGAATGGATCTGAGCTACCCTGGGTGGAATATGTCAAGTGACTACAAAAAGAGAGAAACGCTGGATGCGAGTAGGTTTTCGAAAACCACCTTTAAGTCTTGGAACACGGCCAGAAACTACCGACGAGCCACACGAGCTCTTTCCGATTCTGGATATGGGTGGCAGAAGCCGAAATTATTTCGAAGATAAATTAACTAGGCCCGTGTGGAGCGATAGAGTCTAAAGCAGTGATGTGATTGCCGCGCCACTTGCGCCATACTGTGCCAAGGGGCTAACCCTGCTACATCCTGCCATATTTTTCCAAAATATGGGTAATCAGCGCCAAGCCTGCGTCGAGGGACCAATTTTGGTCGCCTTTGAAAACCGAAACTAAACTGGGTACCATAATTGAGCACACATGAGCTTGGTGGTTCAAGCAGCTGTCTGACACAAAGTACCCTGCATCAATCGTTCATCCAATCTTGCATGATTTTTCTCGCTGTCTCTCGTCTCGCGTCTTTTTAAAAAAATTTCAATGATAGACGTGGGCATGTGCGGACACTCCGACGCTAGCGTGCTGGGTACCAGCCATGCCGTCATGCTGTGAAACGAAACCATGTTTTTGCGCGGCGGGGGTTACTTTATAAGGTGAAGCACTCACTTTTAAAAGCAACGGCCGTGGCCAAACTTTTTGTCCCTGCCTGCCAGTCACCATGGTCGCGTGACGTCATACATTGCCACCCCATGTCACTGCAGTTATGGCACTTTCTAAACTGAAACGTAAGGACTGCCGCATGGTCATCAACAATCCTGTTCTTGTTTAAACGTTACTATAAACATCCTTTTAGCTAAGACTGCTGTGTCGAAGTATTGATTACCTAAGTTTCTCTCGGTACACTTTCTTTCGAGACGTACCCCGGTACGTGAAAGATCAGCCGCGAAAAAAAATTGGTGAAGAGAAGTAAGCTAAAGCAATGAAGGCAATGTCTGCATGCTGGACCCGCACAGCAAGCTTATTTGTCTCGAGTTCAGTCGTTGCACAAAGCGCTCTTAAGAACTTGACCCTGGCTCACGATGTCTTGCATCGATGCACTCAGGTTCTTTTTTTTCTGTGTTTAGCTTGTACCTTGCCTGCCGGCCTGTCAAGCACGTGCTGCTGGACTGTTTTTTTGTCGTATGTTGGACAGTTACATTTTGCATACAATTTTGGGAATTAGTTGGAGGTGGAGCGGGGTGGCATGGTTTTGATCGAACAGCCATCTCCTCTCGCGCGACAATTTCGCCTTGCTTGGCAGTAGTTACGTGTTTCATCAGTTGGAGACTGCTTCCGTATATTTAGGGTTCCGCGTTTTCGTTTTTTTATTTTTTAAAAATTCGGCATACTTTTTTCGGTGTCTATTTTAAAATTCAATTTTCGTTTTTTTTTTTTTTTTTTTTTGGTGTATATTTATTCCCCTAAAAGTTTATTGTTTTTTTGGTGAAAATGAAAGAAACACCATCGGACATTGGATCAGATGATCCGTGTAACTGTGATATTTGTGATCAGTCAAAGAATAACGGCACATACACATACGTGGTCTTTGTTACAACTTCCGTCAGGACACACCTCATAATCGCGGAATTTGCGGGCATAATCTTCAGCGCGCTTCTTTTTCCTTCCCATTCTGACGACGTGACCATCTGAGGTGATGACCGTACAGAAACCAGCGGAATGGAAAAAAGAAAAATCTATTGTATTTCTGTTTTTAACCACAGGGCCATTTGAGAAAGGGTGCTAAGAAAGGTATTAACGACTTTCCTCAATGTCCTCTGAAGTGCATGAAGTGAAAAACCTTATACTAGTGGACATCCAAACTTCTTTTTAGGACCGGGAACTTGATACACTCGGCCCGATCACGGAAAGGCCTATCCAATACCTCTTGTTGCATGTTGAACCTTGAAAGAGGGCAATCACGAAGATGTCACAAAATGTTGAACCTTGCAAAGCCCTCTCTTTCTCTCCTACTTCTTCCTTATATTGACGCGGCCCTAAAAAACTGACCTTTTTCGGTTAAAACCGAATTTTAGAAAACGAACTAGACTTACTTTTATTGGTTTTTATTGGTTTAAAGTGAAAACTCCGAACCCTGCATATATTGTATTACCAGTCAACCTAATGATGTGATATTTACTACTAAGCTGGTCATTTTCAAATAAATATTAATATGTGCAGTTTGGTCCTATATATTTGTATCATTTAACTGAAGCATTGCAAAATGTGTCATGTCATTGGCATTTCAGTTACATGTTGAAGGACTCCCAGGTGGTCTATCTTGACTATAATTGGTTGATTGTGGCGAACAATGTGTCCTTCGTTTGTCCACCACTTGAAATGAATATCTTTTTTTTTTTTCTAAGAATATCTGCTCCAAGAGCCACTTTTGCTGCTCCGAAACACTGTTTTAGCTGCTCCAAAGGCCACTTTTGCTGCTTTAAAACTCTGTTTTGGCTGCTCGAGAAGGTGCTCCAAAACGGCTTAGGCCAATCAGATCACTGCTAAAGCAAAAGAGACGGTGACGTTACGAAGTTTCTACGAGCGTTTTATTTAATATACTACGGTTGAAAATATTCGGTTCAGCTAGGTCCACTAAATAAGCTGCGCTCAGGGGACCTAATTTCCCGGTTTTCTTGTAGGTGCTGCCTTTTTGGTGTAGAGATACAATTTGAGAATGCGACCTCCCGAGTTCTAGATGCGCTCTCTGGAAGTTTGGGCAACATAGTTTTGCTCTATCTAGAACCATTCTAACGTTTCCCGAGGGTGGAAACAGATGTTCTCCCATTTCAGACACAGCTTGTTAGTGGCAGTCATGATGTGAAGCCCCTGGGTGGCTGAGGTGTCATTGCTGCCAGACGTAGCTCGCCTATAGGCTCCAGGTTGAGCGAGTCGTCTTTCTTTTGCTGTCCCGATCAGGTCCTTCTCCCGAAGCTTAAGGCAAAGCCCGTGCGAACTGCAAGCGGAGTAAGTGTGTTTGTGTCTGCGTGGAGTGTGGCGAACCCGCTAACATTTGCACTTTCCAGATTGCGGTGGTTGCAGTCATGTGCAAGCCTCATCGATGCCCACACATCAACATGACCGGAAACATCTGCGTGTAAGTAACCTCTTGATTGGGAATGGCTGCCTGCTTCGAACCTTTCAACGGGCTTTGTCACGTGGTCCCGTGCCTCAGAGCAGAACCAAACTTATCGAATTGGGGGGTTTTACGTTCTAAACACACGAAGGGCATCTGGCACACCTCGGCGGGGGATTAAGGATTGATTTTGACGTCCTCTTTTGACCCCGGGTCGTCCTGGGGTCCCGACCGAAATATTGCTTACGAGGTGTCCGAATACCTACATGGTATCCGGACACCTTGGCCAGGATATGAACCTGCCGCCCGGGGATTCGTAGGCCGGCTCTTAGCACCGAAGCCACAAAGGCAGCTATAGAGCAAAACATTGGTCGGAACAGCTCTGGCCCATTTGGCTACCTTTAGTTAACTTGTGTGTACCTAATGTTATTTCATTGTGAGGGTCGACAGAATGGCAGGTCATCTTTTGGAACGAACTTCGTCCTGCTGGGAAAATATTAAAAAATATGTAGTAACAAAACAAGAATGTGGGCCACTTCCAGTTGATCGCACCTGTGGGGTAAGCTTCTGTATTTCGCACCTTCAACATCGTAACTTCCTGTGGAGCCGTCCAAAGGGGTGTTTGGGGGAGACACTTTTTCTAATCAGTAGCTAATAGTTGCACTTTGTGGTCGGGCTGATACTTTTTTCAATGGTGTCTTTTATGTTCTCATTATTTTTCTTTTTTCGCATGAGGCTGTTTTTTTTTAAATATAAAATACAGGGTGATGAAGTAATACCTGAGCAAGACAATGGCCCTTGCTTCGTCCATTTTGGGATATGCAGGAGTACCTAACTTGTAAAGCCTTCCTGGTAGGCCTACTGCCCCTGCTTTAACTACTTTTGGAGGCCTGGTGCTGAAGCGCAGTTCACGTCTGGCACCTCGTAAATGTTGACAGCTTAAACAGTGACAAAAGCTGTGAACCAACTAGCTCCACTAAAGGTCGTAGTGTGGCACACTGCGGAATCTGTCTCGTCGCACTCTAATACTCTCGTTGCTTTATCAAAATTGCAGGTATTGCCCGGGCGGACCAGACTCTGATTTTGAGTATCAAAATTGCAGGTATTGCCCGGGCGGACCAGACTCTGATTTTGAGTACTCTACCCAGTCGTACACCGGCTATGAGGTAAAATAATTTTACGTGGATGGATAAATGCGTATGGCTGAGCCCTTTAAATTCTTGCCAGGGTACGGTCCTGATGAAACCCTCTGGCAACTGGGCAAGGTAGACGGCCGACAAGTTCGAATATTGCCGTTTTCCTCACAGTATCGACAATTTAAACTCTGCCAGCCGAGCTAGTTGCTGACACTAAAGGTGGTTCACACTTGCAAGTCACAACGGTCGCACAACAGCTTTTTGTCACAAAATTGACCTGTTCGGGGCATTCTCTTCCAGAGTGATTTTTGGAACCGGCTGCTGCATCATGCTATGTTCACAACACGGATGCAACGCGCCAATCTTTCATAACACACTCAAACTGAAGTGCAAGAGGAAGAACAAGGGGGTGATTGGTGGCCGAGTGGGCTAGCGCGCACCAGCTCTGAGCACATGGAGCAAAAGCTCGCGCTTCAGAACCCGGGATCCTGGGTTCAATTCCCACACCTGCCCGTTTCAATCTGGATAAGCATCATACCGGCGTAGGGTCATGTATTACTACTGCGTAGTGCATGTTAAAAAAACCCAGGCTAGCAGTCGTACCGCACTGGCTAAATTTTTAATCTATAGCTGGGAGACAAGTTGCTTGTTGAGCCAGACTAAGTTCTAGGCTGTATGAACATACACACACCAATAATTTTTTTAGAAGCAGAACGAGTTTGTTTATATTTTGATTGATTGTAGTCTGAACGCACCTTGCGCTTACGTTTGCGCGTGTTATGAAAGGTAGGTGCGTTGCGTCCGTAGTGTGAACATAGCATCACCCTGCGGCTGAACCAATCACTGGTGCCTTAGAAGTGATGTATAGTGCACCTCGCATTTGTTTACATCCGGCACTTGGGAGAGATGCAACCAACAGTCCATTCAATGCCTCAGTTCGTGGTAACGGCCATGGGTACAGAACCATAGAGGTCTGCAGTGGCTCTAATCAACGCTATTAAAGGGTACCCATTTTTTTTATAACGAGCAGTGCTCCCTTATTTGAATGAGCGCCCGCAGAAGAACTCCGCCTGGCAGCAAATTCGTGGCTTATGGCTCAAAAGGTACCGTATTTATTCAAGTAATAGCCGCACTGTTTATAAGAAAACCCGAGGGTTCACTTTTCCGTGAAAAATGTGGCTTGCCAATCACCGCGATCGGCAGCATGATTCTAGCGGTTTACAGGGCAGAGATAACGTCTTTGCGCGAAGATACCATTTGTGAAGATTGCATTTGTATGGAGACTCGTGTTCTCAATCTAGTTATTCGCTATGCTATTTATGTGCAACGAAATGATTGGCTGTATATGTGCTTTGCGGGAAAGTAGACTCAAGGACATTGTTCATAAATAGTGCGGCTACTACTCAAGTAAATACGGTACATACTGCACCGCAGAAGCTCGAGTGAGTGCTCACCAATGTAGCGATTGTGCTTTTGTTGTGCGTTTCCAAAGGACCCAGGCCGATATCACCAGTGTTTCTCTTATGGCGCAAGCGACGCACGTGTAACTGTGCGACAACAAAAAGGCAAAAGAGCGAAACATGAACTCAAGCTGAAGTGAGAAGGACTCGAATCGACGTCGGCTCCAAGAGAGCTTCAGGGAAGCGACTTGCATGTTTCTAGTCAGTTGCTTGACTGCTGCAAGTTGCAAGTGTGAAGGCACCTTCATTCAAGCTCTCGAACACCTCGCTGGCTTACATGGCTGTTGGAGAACCCAGGCAAACAAGCGAAATGATGTGTGGCTTAGAAGACGAAGAAACTGGTGCCAGGGTCAGTGTCCTCTAAACCTGACCGGCGTCTTTGTCTTTGCAGCCGACGTCTATGCGGGCCATCAGGGCACGCTACGACCCGTTCCTCCAGACACGCCATCGCATCCAGCAGGTAAGGACGTCTGGATCAGCAATCGGTTGACTAGGCAGTTTGGGAAGTGGACGCGTGTGCATTCGTCAAGTGGTCGGATGAATTCTGGATGAGCTCCGGTAAAAATACCATGTACGCTGTGCTAGTGTGAACTAGACTCGCACGCTTTTGTGCATTTTTGCTTTGAAAGGGTGGTGGCGGGCGTCAAAATTTATCGCTTGGTTTAGTACTCCAACTGAGCACTTTCCAAAACTAGAGTAGTTTCGATGACATTCTCCTTCAAGCACCAGGTTTCTCGATTTGAAGGTGCGGTCACGTTTATGCACAGGCTGGAAAGTTTGTTCGGAGCTGAAAACATGACATCAACCTTCACTCTGTTCGCTGTTCTCTTAAAGCCGTAAAAAAAAATTATGGATGTACGGGACGATGACTGTTCTTTTTTTCCTGTCGCTCTGCGTTTGTTTGACACAACGTCCTTGGTTCACTTCTTTGAGGAGTTTTTCAACGACCGACCCCAATAGGAAAACAGGGTACCCTGCGCACTTCAGCCTCGCAATTTTCTCCTCGGAGCTCCTTTGTGCCAAATGTGTTCCAGCCCATGCAAAAACAAGACCACAACTTCAAATCGAGCATCCAGCTACTCCGTGAAGCATAGAACAAACTTTGTGCCTTGCGTTGAAGGGGTTGTCTATTGATTCCCCTCTTTCTGTAGAGCAAAAACTTAGGACAAACTGGGCAGTGTCCTAATGACTGCCTTCGTGAACATGACAACAACATTGTCAACGCCAAGTCTGGCCACTTAGGAATCGACTGTCGGGATCGTGGTTGTTCAGTGTATTTTAACAACGGCACCGTGTTAGGAAAAACTGTCTACCAATGGGGAATTATCGAAGCCGAGAACATCATGCAACCGGAGGACAGATGCGTTAGTATGCTGTCTATAATATTGTCACAAAAAGAGATTAATTATTTAGCCACGAATCTGTCTAAACGTTAGAAGGCAATTTCTTCCTTTTTAATTTTCTGGCGTTTTCCTTTTTTTTATTTGAAAATTGTCTTAAATTAAAGTAGAAGTAGAATCGGAAGAAGTTTATCGCGCATTACAGAGTCGTTAGTGAGTGCCGTGTGAGTGTTTGTTTTTTGCGTGTTTGGAAGCTCGAGGAACAGTTGAACGGCCAACTTGCCCAATCTAAATCTTGGACAGCCTTCACGTCGTCGGGCAAAAACGGAGTGATCACAAAGGAGGATGCGACGATATAGTCCACCTTTTGCCCGCAGCTGCGTCAGCTAGGCCACTCGGTGGACAAGGTGGAGTTCATTGTGATGGGCGGCACCTTCATGTCCCTTCCCGAAGACTACCGGGACTGGTTTGTGCGCTCTCTACACGACGCCCTCTCGGGGCACACCAGCGGCTCGGTGGGCGAGGCCGTGCTGTATGGCGAGCGGGCGCGCACCAAGTGCGTCGGCATCACCATCGAGACCCGGCCGGACTACTGCCTCAAGTGGCACCTGGGGTGAGCCCGCATCCTTACGTCGTTTCATTGCCCGGACGCAAACTACCGTCGTGCCTCGGGCAACGGGTGCTGCAGAAAATAGTTAAGGGGGACACTAGCCAGGAAAGTCGACTTCTGTACCGCTTGCTTGATTTCAATCAAATTTGCAGTGGAAGTTTATATGAGTGGCCAGACCATCTCTGCCAGATTTCATTGTCCTCTGTCAATTCTGGAACTTGTTACGAATGTTGCAATATGGAATTTAGTGTGTTCGCTTAGAAAAACTATTGTACTAAAATAAAATAAAAATTTGAATTTTATGTGTTATATAGTCATAGGAATATGCATAGCACATATTCAGCTAGTTATTTTGCTCTATTGCATTGTTTTTTTTATAAGTATAGCTCTATAAAAAGATTTACATTTTTTTTCCATATCTGTGCTTTTTGACAAATGTAGTTTTTTTTTTTTTAGCATAAAAGAATGTAAAAGCAGAGAAACCAACCAGCCAGGCATGTCTTCAGAAAATTCTATCCCAAAAAACCACCTAAGAGTAATTATCTATTGTGTAATAGAAAAACAATAATTTTCCTATAGTGAAATTTATGCCAAAAGGCGGAACAAAGAATAACGTGTTCAAAGTGCTCGAACCTCTACCTTTTCTTTATCATCGATGAACCAAAAATAATTTATTAAAAAATAACCATACAGCGTAAACAAATGAAACTTTCTGAGAAAACTCTCTAGATGTTTGTGGATGTAAACATAACTTATTGAAACATCAACTTTTTTTTTTGCAAAAAATCTGTTTTCTGAATAGTTTCCCTCCTTAAAGGGTAACTGCAAAGAAAAAAAGTGTATTTTTAAGCAGACCAATTGGGACAAGCATGTCACAAAACAATTTTTTTGCCAAAAACAAAATTTTTTTACAGCAATATTTATTGCGCGAGATTGATTTTAGTTTGCGGCTATTTCGTCCGTTTTAAATCGCGCGCCACAAAGTTTTTATTATAACATACGTCACGTAGTGCTGCTATACGTCACGGAGTGACGTATAACAGCCGCTGCGCGTGCGTCGAAAGAGCGGGAGTTTAAAATGTGAAGTTGTGACCCTGACTAGATTACGTCCTGTGGCGTAAATATTGCTAGAAAAAATTTGTTTTTTCGCGGAAGATTTGTTTTGTGACATGCTTGTCGCAATTGGGCTGTTTAAAAAAACACATTTTTTTTCTTTGCAGTTACCCTTTAAGGGAACCCTCAACTTCGAAGAGACTTTCTATGAAATCTGTATGAGTGACTCTAAAACATACTGTACCTTTATTTTGGAATCAACATCTCGAAATGGAAGAACATTTCAGAATCATACCCAACTCAAAATCTGTCTTACGACGTAAATATTGTGCCGGAAAGATTTTCTAGAAAAGTTTATTTTGTGACGTACATGTCCCATCCAAGCACAGTCGATTTGCAAAATGTAATCTGTAATCAGTTGTTACTTGTTGACATCACCGGCGTGACATCTTCGGCGTCACGTGAGACCGCGCAATGTGATGGCACCACGTGACCATTGCTTGCGACGTGGTCGTGTTACTGCTATCTGAATTTGCATGCTGTATCACACGACGCAACGTGCTAGCGTGTCGTGTCACGAGGTGCTTGTGTGGTGCAATCACGTCACATGGACCACGAGACGTGATGCAGCAGGAGTCTACGAGTCTCGGTATAAATGCGATCGCTCTGACATTAATTCTTCGAATGCCACGCTTGAGTCTACTCGGGCAGATTCCCGCGTGGCTTCTATTTGCTCTCTGGCCCTCCCAACTGGGCTGCCATTTTCTTTTTACCTGTAGTGGCACGTATGAGCGAGCAATCAAAACAATGTTCTACCTCATGGTGTCAATTTTTCATGGCACATAATTTTTTTGTTCGGGTGACTTCCGTTTTTGTACGCTCCCTCCCATGTTGTTACGGAATGGTTAGTTCCTATGTCATTCAACCTTCCACTTCATGCTGGACGCCAAGATCTAGAAATTACTAATAAACTTGATATTCCTCAACCGTGAAAGCGAGGAAGTTACTGGTCCATGTAAACAAAGGCCGAATAAGGCCTCTCGAAAGCGTGACCTCGGGGTGCGAGGTCGAGGTGCCATTGCAGAGTACCGTGTCTCAAAAAGTACAATATGAGAAATATGTCTTAGGTTGGAGGCGTGCGGGCACAAATTGACTTTTTTTCGCCATAAAACAGTGTGTCTCGTATAAATAAATATCCTTTGCGGAGCATCCCACACAGTTACTGAGACCAAAATTTGCATTCGGCATGCGGGAAAAAAAAAGCCTGGCATTGAAGGGGTTAACTTCTCTGTAAACTATTTTTTATACAAGAATTTTGTCATGGATGACCTTTACAGGCCGCTAGCTTTTTAGCTGCTGCACAGTAGATTTGGGCTGCAGAATAACGGTACTAAATGAGGCAAATTTTATTGTGAACCGGGTAGTCTGCAGCTTGTGAGAAGAGTCGTAGCTTTTCTGCTGTGACAGTGCAACAACATAATGATGATTCTTTGTGTGTGTCTCAAGCCTATTCGGGAATCTCATACCTGCTCTTTTGTGCTCTTGAAGACTGTTTGTGATTTATCTCTAGCGGCACAAAAGGAGAACTTGCAGAAATAGCTGACCCAAGCATTTGCCGCAGTAGTCGTAGAGGCATTCCTAAAAGTGTCGTTGCAGGGTTCAAGGAAGTCGGTGTGAGCTGTTGATGTCATCTCTAAAGGGAGTATGGTGAAACCATTTGCACCCTGCACATACGAGCCTGATTATCAGATCAGACTGCACGAACAATGTATCGGGTTGTGAGGGATTCAGATGTAATCATATGTGAATCCCTCATAACCAAATAACCTTGCCTTTTTGTCTAAGTGTTCCTTTTTTGTTGAGAGGAATCAGGAGAGATTGCAGTCGCCTGAGGTGTCCTTGCATTGTAACAGGGACATGCTCCTGTATGGCTGCACGCGTCTCGAGATCGGAGTCCAGAGCGTCCACGAAGACGTGGCGAGGGACACCAACAGGTGAGGCGCCTTTTTGCCCCTTGCGGCCCCGCCTGCTCCTCGAGGGAGCCACTAGGTTTCTTTTATTGCGCACGAGCAGTGTAGGCAGCAGCAGCAACAGGGCACTGCTTCTGGCCAAGAAGATGGGCGCAAACGAAGCGACAATTCAAAGTCGCTTCGTTTGAACTTTTGGTTAGTTTTAAGCAGGATTGCTCACATTTACACATTTGGAAAAACCAGGCCAAATCACTCCTGCAAAAAGACTACTCCACGTGCAGGAAAAACTTGATGCCATTGTGGTTTGTGCCAAAGGGCCCACTAAGGAAAATAATTACCATTGGGTATAATTAGGTCATTAATTACTTTTCAGTAATTAAAGTTTGATTTATTAATTTTACAGGTATGGTTTCAATGAGATACTTGATGCGAATCATAGAAAACTGCTAAATCCACCCACATTACAATAAGGCACGCGCAGCATTTCACGGCATTACGAAAAAATACTTAATTTGGACGCGTTAGTGGGTTTCGGTTTCTTATCGGAGCGCATCTCCGTGCCACCAATCCCACTACCCGTGACAAAAACGCACAACGTATGTGCGCCACCACGCATTGCACGTAGAAGAGGCTAGACAAGAAAGCCTCCGGACTGCCAGATGAGGTTTGCCTTTTTGATGTCGGTGCCGTTGTGAAGACGCACCTTTACGTGCGATGCGTGGCGGCACACGCATCGCACTTTGTTGCGCTTTGGCCATAGGGGACGAGATTGCTAGCACGGACATGTGCTTCAATAAAAACCCGAAACCTAGAAACGCGTCCAAAATGAGCCAGATTTTGGAACTCCGTAAAATACTGCACGTGCCTTATATCGTTATAATATGGGTGAATTTAATAGTTTTGAATGATTCACATCAAGTTTCTAATTGAAACTGTACCTTTAGATTTAATAGTTAAAAGCTTAATTGCTAAAAGTAATTAATTATCCAATTGTATGCACGCTAATAATTTTCTTTAATGGGTCTTTTGGCACAGAATTGACTCACGAGAGGTTTTGATGAGAATCAGCAAGTCTCTGACTGGAATGTACTATGTTTATTATCACTAATAGTTAATCACTAGTTATTATCACTAATATTTAAACAGTTAATTGGGAAGTTTTAGGTAATTATTTTGCCAATTAGTATGGTTCTTAAATTTTCTACGTCCACCGTGGCTGGCAGTTTTTTCTGAAACGATTTTTTTCTCAGACACCCTATTTTAATGGACGTTTGAAAGCCTTCACAGAAACACCCGGTGTACAGACATCTGGACAGCGCGACTGTGGGACATAGGGTCAGGTGACATTGTGGCGCAAAGTCATAGTGTTGTCGTTAATAGATCTGCTAATGTTGGGTCAAGCCTCAGTTCAGCGAGGCGTCACACAACACCAGGACTTTGCACCGTGACGTCACGTGACCTCACGTGGTTGGACGCACATCACGTGGTCATGTGACCACTTGACCTATGGTGGCGTTCGTCTAAATTTAGCTGATAACAACACGGTGCAGCGCCACCGCACAAATCCCAACTTGGCTTTCATTAAAATGCGTCGCGCATTATAAAAGGCGTTTCTGGGAGGCTGTGAGGCCGGAGTTGAGGGGGCGTGAACCAGGAGTTGACCGGCCATGTGTGTGCAGGGGCCACACGGTGCGTGCGGTGTGCGAGTCCTTCCGGCTGGCCAAGGACGCAGGCTTCAAGGTGGTGGCACACATGATGCCCAACCTGCCCAACGTGGACTTCGAGCGGGATATCGACCAGTTCGTGGTGGGTCGGCACGTTGGCTCCATTTTCAGACACCCTCGAGAACTGGTGGTGGGGCGGAGCTGTAGGGCCACAAAACAAAGCTGAGAATACAAAGAATTACTCATTAGGGAAGTGCTCGAATGCCGACGTCATTAAGGCAGCTTTAAAGACTTCAAAGAAGAAAGAGAGCTTTGGGTAAAGACACCGCAGACGCCGAAAATGGTAAGTGTGCTTCGGGATACGACCGCGAAAAGGCTTACGCGGAAGTATGCGCATCTCGTATTGGTGATGGAGATGCAACAATCTGTAGAAAGGGGGTTTTAGTAACTTTTCACGCAAAGGGGAATTATGCTAGATTTCATGAAAGTAGTGCAAATGAGAAATTTTTACGAGGGATGCGAGGTTAGGCACGTTCAAATTCGATTTCGTAGATGCTTGCTACGTTGGCAGTGTTACGATAGCGTGTGTGAAGCAAATGGCCCTATTTTGAACTACTTTGACAGAAAATGTTAATATACGTCGATGGTAGGTCCCATATTAAAAGGCAGAGTCGCATCTCTTCCACGCGCCGCATTGTCTCCATTAGGGGCTGAATTAAACTGGCCGTTACGTACCTAAGTATCTCGAGAAACATTGTACCTAGGAACCAATGGGGTATTTTCTCGACGCGCCCCTTCCAGTTATCCATGAAACGTGATGACCAGTTTCCGCCATTTTACCCGTACGCAAGTGAGCGACCCTTTGTTAGCGTCGTGCTTTGTGCCAGAAAAATCGCCGCGAGTGGCTCTGTCGACGACAGAACTTGAGAAGCAGGATCGGGGATGTATTTAAGTCGCTCCAGGCTTACTTCGTTTTCCTTTGGAGTCGAACCGGCAGCATCTACCCACCTTGACTCCGAATGAAGACCACCGTGTTTAAAAATTGAGTATACCGGCCGACAATCTCTTAGGTCATCGGTGCAACGGTGGTTGTTGTAGAACCAGATTGGAGCATCTCAAGTGAACAACTTTTTATTAAAGGTACACACTGAAAGTTACATTACTATAAAGACAATTTCGAGCAGAAGACGCGTTAGCCGCGTCCTTCCTTTAGGAGGACCCAACACAAAGAGACTCGAGCCACACCCCAGCCACCCAGAGCTTCCTCCGTTTCTCCCTCTCCTGGTCATAAAGAACACCACACAGACCACGTAGACTAAACACTCTCCGAAAAACTCTTCGTCCCTGAATTGAGTTTCCAAACTCCGTCTCCCCCTCTCCCCAGCTCAAGTGATTTGTGGTATACGAGCCAGTTGACTGAGGTGGCGCGTGGAAGTCTATCCGCAACAGTGGTCGCATCACATTATTACAGTCATTGGTGTTACGCGACTCGAAGCGGGGTTTGAAGGCACAACATGGCCGAATCTCGGTGCAGACCCTGCATTACCGGAGATTGAACCGACGTTAATGACCCTAAAACTAGGATTCCATGTTTTTGGTAAATACCGGTAAACCCGAGCTGGGTTTTATTGAACTTGGGGAAAACTGAAATACCTCAAATTGTATTTATCTTAAAGTAAAAAAAAAAAGACCCGAGCTCTACTGGGAAAAAATCTTCATCCGCGAGGTTATTTTGTGTTGAGCTGGAACACAGGCCCTAGTGAATTGTCCGCGAGGCCTTCTTGCGGACCACATACAGTTTCCTTCCCTTATTGGCGAGGTTTTCCAAGTGACGAGTGTTGGGATCATGCTCATGTTGCCTGAAGGTTGGGGAATTGCTTGCTTGCGCACTATTTTCTTCAGCCCCTATAAACTCAGAGGTTTTTTTGTTTTTGATATCGAAATATTTCCATCAAGAAACACAGAATCTGTGGGAAAGAATAAGCCTAGATAGAGCCTCTTGAATTGGGAGCATAATAAGGCCCGAAAACATGGAACCCTACTTATAATGTATTCTGCGTGCAAGTACTTCGTCAGGAAGGACCAAAGCGGGCTGAAAGTTCTTCTCTTGGCCGATAGAAGCAGTTCGTGGCGTTCAATCTCAAACTTTCTTTTTAAAGAAGCAAGTTTCGTTCGTTGTGTCTGTTGCAAATATACTCAGCTTTGTCGAAGGAAAGCTCATGGGAATACAGGGGCTTTTCCCATTACGTTATGAAAACTCGGTAAACCTTTTCCGTTGGCAGACCTTTCTCATTAGAAGACCTTTCCCATTAGGTCTTTTTAATTAACCTAAGAATGCAGTAGACCTTTCCCATTAGTAAGCTTTTCGAATTAGCCTATAAGAACACGCTAGACCTTTCTCATTAATAGACCTTTCTTATACACGATCTTGCCCATTAGTAGGCCTTTCAAGTTTGCCTATGAGAGCACACTAGGCCTTTCCTTCAGAAACATGTTCTCATACAAGGGTTTCCTTTTACCTGTGCAGGAACTGTTTGAGAACCCGGCCTTCCGCATGGACGGCCTTAAGGTGTATCCTACCCTGGTAATCCGAGGGACCGGCCTGTACGAGCTGTGGAAGACCGGCCGCTACCGGAGCTACCCGCCGGGTTTCCTGGTGGACCTCATCGCCAAGATCCTCGCCCTGGTTCCGCCCTGGACGCGCATCTACAGGGTCCAGCGGTGGGCTGCTCCGACACTTTCGCGCTCACCCAGGGCCCTCACGATAACATTTCCATTCATTTGGGACAATATCGAGATATTGAAACACGACGCGGGTGCTTAGCAGTGCCGCGAGTTGGGGCTGCACTTTGGGGTAACAACACCCTGGCCATCTTGTCGCTTAATGTCGCCGTTGCCAGTTGTCCGAACCTTATCTGAAATGGTGGGAAGTGCTTTTCCGCGCTCCAGAAATGTCAGGACAGCAGGGCAGAACGATATTGCTCGAGCTTCCCGACGCCACGTCTGTACGGGCGGGAAGGGAGAGGGGAGGACGAGGGGGGATGCCGAAGCGCCGAGCTCCGACCGATATGACTGGTGGGTAGATGCCGAGCTAGCTGCCTTCGACTGTACTCGCTGTTGAAATGCGTTCGAACGTTGGAGTGCATTCGAAGAGCGAGTAGAGACAAAGGCAGCTTGCCTTTCATACACCCGCTAATAATTCCGGTCCGTGCCCCGGCGTTTCCGCAAGTTCTCGTTTCCCACCCGTGTAGCTCGGGAAGGTGCAAGTCGGAGGTACGCCGAACGAGGAAAGGGTGGCCTCCGGGAAACCAATTGTGGACGCGACGCCTCGCTTAGCGAGTGCAAACGGGAGCGTGACGGAGCCTCGTGCGCAGGGACATCCCCATGCCCCTGGTGACCTCTGGCGTGGAGCACGGGAACCTGCGGGAGCTGGCCCTGGCACGCATGCGGGACTTCGGCACAAGGTGTCGCGACGTGCGCACCCGCGAGGTCGGCATCCAGGAGATCCACCACCGGGTGCGGCCCAACCAGGTACGAAGGGTCGCCCTCCCACTCTCGCTTCGATTCATGCAAAGGGAACGTCGCCAAGTCACGAACCGCGTGTTTCGGGGTAGTGCCTCTTGTAGCGGCCGTCCACCAGGAAGCGTGCCAGGTCCTTCCAACTGCTGCGCCGTCGTAGAATGTATAAAAAAAGGCAAACGGAACGCAGTGAAACTTCACGAAGGAGTCTTTAAGTACGTAGTGCGTTGATCACGCTCGGGTCTTGTGACTCTAGGTTTCTGCCAACAAGTGCCGGAAGAGAAGAACGTGTTACTCCTATGCGTGGGGCAAAAAAGAAAAGCAAACTGCTCGGTTGATGCGCTACTCGCGGATAATTCCACGCAAGCTCGGATTTGCTGGTTTAGCTTTTGGGTGTTCGTCTCATGGAGGCAAGTTTTTCTTCCATGTGGCTCCATCTGTGAACAGCAGCCTTGAACAGGCAGTTTGTTTCTTTTTTTTTTCTTCCTATGCGTAGAAATAGCAGGTACTTTTTTTTTCCATTTATTTGCGAAAATTTACACTCGTGAAATTTGAGTACGATAAATACACCACCTGTGAAAAGTTTCAATGCACTCCATTCATTTCCTAATCTGATTAATTTTTTTGACAACTCCGTAATGCTAGTGAGTGCTCTCTGGACCCAGTAGAGCTTTGTGGTTGGCAGAAGTGGCTGTACCGACGTCTGGAAACTTTTATGCACGAAACGGTTTGTGAACAATCAACGATTTACAGCTGGCCGGAAGGTGAGTTGATATTTTGTAGGGTTTTTCGTATCGGGCGGCCCGTAATCTCGTTTATGAAAGGAGAATACCAGCCTTCATTTGCCCGCTCGTGATCGGGTTCTTCTGGCGTACGACAAAGCGGCAACAACTTTATTAATAAGGACAGAAGACGTTGACAACATGAAGTGCTACGTTTGACCGAAAATTTATTGAAATCTCATCTTTAGCACCAGGAATACCAGCAATGTTAGTCATAGTCCCTTGAGGACCGGTAGAGGGATAAATGATTCAAATTGTGATATAAGCAGAATCTTCTGTGTTTCTTAGCCCGACTTTATTAGCACTTTTAGACTTTTAGATGGATATTGATATCTTGCCTTCTAGCAACTTTAGACAATGCGAACTACTTTCTCGCTTTTTGAGGCTTTTAGACTTGTTTGACAGGTTAATGTGCATATTGTGCATTCTGCATCTAACTTTCCTCCTAAATTTAGTTGAAAAACTTTCCCACTAAATTTAGAGAGAAAGTTGTGTCACATATTTTCGTTACTGCTGCACCCCAAATGGCAGAAGTAGCCTATAAACGCGATCTGCATCGGCAGAAAAAGCTATTTATACAGCCTGTTGAATTGCTTAAATAATAGTCATAATCATAATCTTTATTTTCACTGTTCCAAGTGTTATCCTAGAGGGCAAGCGAGGTGAAACAGAGAGGCAGAAGCCCATACTTGAGTGCGGGTTTCCGCCAGTCTGCAGTCGGCAAGAGAGGTTCTCGAAGGCGGGGGCTAGAAGAAGGATGGTCCAAGACGTCCGGGAGAAAGTTGTCTAAGATATCACCAGGTTATGGTTGATGGTTGCTCAACCAGTCGACGTGGGAGTTAAAATTACCAGTGATCAGGACGTCGCGGTACGGTTTGAGCAGTGCACGGGTGAGGGAGCGTCAAGTAGCCCGTAAGCGGCGCCCCGCGTCGAGGGGAGCAGTAACTCGCAGCATATGAAGATGGAGGAAGATTGCCTCCAGGTCGGGATACTCAAAATCTGGCTGACCATCAGGCCGGTCGTCCTCTGCCTCCTCTATCTCTGCGATAATATAGTGTGTGCAGCGCCCAGAAACACAGGAGTTACATGGGAGTTCAAACTCTCTACTAGGTAGACATGTTGGAGCTTGGGCGGTTCTTTTATCAGTGCTTCCTTATTTGCAGTGTGGGGTAAAGTACATCTAAAAAGCACTTGCAGTAAAGTACATAGCTACTGTGACGTTTTGTTGCTCATGCTGCCGCCGTACGATCGATACAAATAGTAAAAAACCTGTGATTTTTAAACACGGTTTATTAGATGCAGATGCAATATTTTGTTGTAGTAATATTTAAAAATCAACATGTTCGTGGATTAATGAACATAACATTTTTTCCCCCTTTACCCCTCTGTGAACACTAGCATAGCTTTGGTGCACTATGGCGGCTTTTGCGGCCTGAAATGGCAGTGGTGGAGCTGATGCGGGTTGTTGACAGGTGGAGCTGATTCGACGGGACTACGTGGCCAATGGTGGCTGGGAGACGTTCCTTTCGTACGAGGACCCCGAGCAGGACATCCTGGTGGGGCTGCTGCGGCTGCGCAGGTGCTCCGAGGAGACCTTCCGGCCAGAGCTGAAGGGCGGGGCGTCGATGGTCCGGGAGCTCCACGTGTATCCTTCCTTCTCTAGAGGTCGCCTCTCTCGAGTGTCCGACGGGGGCTTTGGCAGTCTTGGGGTTTACTATGGGGCTACCTCAGTCGAATGGAAGGATTGGAGAATTCATTATGACCCAAAAACTGCCAAAAAGGAGTATTCTCTTCATTTTGGCAAAATGGACGCCTCACCATTTCATCCGATGCTTTTACGCTCGACGGTAATGACACTTGGCCACCTTGCTGCTTGAAATCATTGCTGCCGGGTGTCTCAAGTTTCACCCGAAAACTCGGGAAAACACTTTTTCGTTCCTTGCGAGCGTTAAAACAATCCGCAACAAAACAAAACAATATTGCCTGAGCTTCTTAGCACCATAGCTAAGTTTGCAAATTGTAATGGTCGCCAATCGCAGCCTCCCTGCACGAAGCACCAAAAGCCCTTGTCAGGGAGTGGGGTGCCGAAGGGTAGCTCAGTATTTTGCTGCTCTAGTCTGGTCCGGAGGCAAAGTATCTCATTCTTTGCGATTTCTTGCTCGGGTCAACTCATTCTTCTCCAATTTTACTTAAAAAATCCACCATCTAATCGCACCTTCGCGATAAGTTATGTCTACAACCGACTGGCGGAATACATACGGGGCTGCCACCGTGCCGTCGGGTCTACGTGTTTGCACACTTTTTACAATTGGACACTGGAAGTTGTAAAATTGTTACGTATCTACTTCATGAGGTTACACCGCACAAGTTAGAACACTTTCCGGCTTCTGTTGACAGTTAATGTGACTGGCCTCGCTTTATGTCAAGTAGCCATTGACTCGCTGTCTCTGCAGAGCAGATTGTACGAGGTAGAGTGCCACCTCTCTCCAGCCAGGCATGTAGCACTTCCTTCTTACTGCTTTGTCGCAGAAGCCGTTCACTCCTCGAGATAGTGCAACTGGTGTCCGTGGCTTCACTCCACTAGACCGAAAATATCTGAGCGTTTGTTTGTACATCGAATCTGAGTCTGCGAGTTGGCCTTGACTGCCTGCAGGTATGGAAGCGTGGTTCCGGTCAGTGTTCGTGACCCCACCAAGTTTCAACATCAGGTCTGTACCTTTACTGAGTTCTGTGTTTCTTCCTTTTTTCTCCTCGTCTCTTTGTACACGATTTTTCATTGCGTTCAGCCTTTATCAACTCTCAACTCGCCCAGCTTACCATCTTACTGCAGCAGACCCGTTTGTTTCTTACTGCGCAACGTAATTGCAGTCTACTAATATCTCCATGTGATACCACCCAAAGTGTGAATTAGCAAGGCAAAAAAACGGTCAAAAAGTTATTTGAATCAAATTAATTTTGTACAGGGTGTTAAAAGAAGAAAATGTGCACGGTTTCTCTCACAGCAAGAACAAACTACACATCACCGAACACTGATTCCTTGCCCAAATGTAGCGCTAGCAAAAACGAACCAAGTGTCAAAGTTTCAGAACTAACCGTTATCTTGTTCAAAAGTTACATGATTTTCTGAAATTTTGAAAGGGAAAATGATGGCCTATGGAGCTTCCGAATAAGCAGGAAACGAGCGAGCCGGCCGCGTCGCGGTGGTCGCCTATTGTTCGCTGCCATCAAGCAATAGCCGGCACAGAATCGTCGTGAAGCAATGGGGACGATTGACACAGTCGACGGTGTCCCCGTTGTGAATACGACGGTGTTTGAGGCGGTTACAAATCCGAAAGCTTCTTCTATGGTGTCAATATGACGAAGGGAAGACCCCTCCACGGAGGGGGAATCTGGTCACGTGTACGACATGAGGGAGGTCCGTTTGGACGGACAAGATGATGTCACGGCGTGCTGTACTCTGCAGACGAAATTGAGCCCGCCCGCAAAAAAATGTCGAGCTTTGCGTAAGGACATAAGAGAGTTTTCTTAGTTTGCGTTGAGTAGACTGCGCTAATGATGTACGTTTATTGCTTTCTGAAACAGCTTGACAAGAACTGCGCGATAGTTTTCACGCCATTTCGCGATTCCCAGCCTACTATTTTTTTTTTTGTAGGCTGATGGAAAGATAGACTGGGTTTTAGCTTGTGTGGGCGACTTCGTCCGCTTCTTGTTTCCGGTGAAGTGTTTGCTGCATATTTTCGAGTTTTCTGTAGGTCTCCATATTGTTCCATCATCGCTAAAAAAGTTAACTGTATTATTCGTCAGCAGCTTAAAGCAAAATGGGAAATGCAGGGCGGGAAACGTCACTTTCATTCATGCACAAGTCGCACCCAGGTCGCGTGGCGCTCCGCCTCGCACGACTTCGAAAAGAAGCCATAAAACTTTGTGCCGTGTACGTTCTTGTACGTACCTACTGTTGCAGCTGACCATGCAGCAGTTGTGGCTTTTTTGGTGCGGAGTAGCCATCTCGGAAACTAGAGCCCTGTCCCGCTACTGCAGCTACTACGCACAACCTATGCAGCGACTGCAGAAGCTTCCTGATGCAATCGACCTGTTTGCCACTAGGGGTGCCCTGGTCGGGGCTCGAATTACGTCCGCCCGGTTCCTAGGGCTTGAACGGCGCCAGTTACCGAAAAACCCTTATTTCCATTGTTAATTTCAGCAAATCAATTTATATAGCATTTGAAGTAGATAACGGCTAATTCTCTAATTGTGTCACCTGGTTTGGACCTCTGGTGCTATATTTGGGCAGACAATTGGTGTTCGGCGATGCATAGTTTACTTCTGCAGCGAAAGGAGCCGTAAACCATTTTGGGCACACGCGGTATTTTATACTTCTTTTATCAATTTCTAAATTTATGAGAAATAATAAGGCCAATCGCACCGTCATGAATGCTCGTTTAATATTGCCATATTTTCCGTTTCATAGTCTGCAGATAATATGCGTTTAAAAGTTAACATTTTAGGCGGTGCAGGCCACTAGAAGTGCGGACTATACAAGAATTTTGTAATTCTAGGTCATTCATTTTGACGATATGTGAGAGATTTTTGGAGTGACAAATGATAACGACGACTTCTGTGTGATCCAAACTTCTTTGTGCATAATAAAGCGGGCAGTTTCAAGGTGTGCTTTTGATGAGAATTTTTTACGTGCGGACGATGTGCAAGGGGTGGACTAAGCAACAGGCGTGAACTATCCAAGGAAGAACTTTTTTTCTCGAGCCAAAGTATGCCCCTGAAGAGTACAGACTGTGGTCCGGAAAATACGGTCTAATTGTTTTTTGCTTTGCCCTCGAGCATCTAGAACTTTTTTTTAAATTTGAAAATACCTATAATCTTTTCGAAGTCTCTCACGATAATAGAGATGTGTAGTGAAATGAACCTTACAAAATAAATTAGAAAGACAACATATACATACACATTATAGTCCGTATGCATTGTCTTTAAAGTCGGAGGCTCGTGTTGCAAGTATTGCTAAGGGATATAAAATGTGGCGATTAATTTTTCCTCAATGATGATAATTTTTTAGAAGAAAAAGTTTAAACTCTTTTTAACAGTGTTGATGTTTTGGAAGAAAATGATTAAATTCATATTATTGGTGTTTATTTTTCGGAGCAAAACTTTAAAGTCACCTTTATGGCGTTAATTTTCCAAAAGAAAAATGTAATCCGAGGTATTCACAAAATTGGTTGGACCCCAGAAAGTGGAAAAGTAAGATTAAGCGAGAGGTTATTAAGTGAAAAAAGTGTTTTAAGTGGCTCTTGTATGGTGTTGTTGCTAGGGCTTTGGAACGCTGCTGATGGAAGAGGCCGAGAGGATAGCCCTGACTGAGCATGGCTCCAGCAAGATCGCCGTCATCTCAGGTACTTGGCAGATACTTCATTCTCTGGGTACACTGCGAGAACGGCATAATGGACTTCTTCCAAAACCGACGCGCCCCATCGCGGCGAAATATCACGCAGTGCACTCTGGGAACTAGTTGGCCACTCAGTTTCGGTTTCGACTGAGCAGCTTCATCTCATGCTATCACGCCGCGACCGAACGCGCTGCTTGCGTTTTCGATTATCTAACTTTTCACGAACGTACAATACACTCATTCTCGAGCGATGCAAAATGAAGACCGGGGCACTTTCCTTGGTTCCCGGAACACCGGATATTGTGCGTGCGTATGCGAACGTAGTAAGACGTGGCTTAGTCACATCACCCCACGAGTGCAACTTTGAGCTCAATGTCAGTAATCCCGTCTAGTACCAGTGAACTACAACTAAAATTTGTTCGTTCGTCTGGAGCCTTACACGCATTTTGGTTGCCAAATGTCCGCTTCTCGTTACTTCATTGGGCGAAAAGCAAGCCGCATCCTCACAGGGTATCAAAGTTGAGGCCAGCGTTTCGACCTCACTACTGCGCAAAAGTTACTATGATGTCTTCCTCGTGTCATCATATATCTACAACTAGAATTTTATGCTGATAGAAGATTAACTTTTCGGAAACGCTGAAATCGGCTATAGTCAGTTACAGGTTAAGAAGGTAGCGGCAAATGCCCCTCAAAGGGAATCGGATATCCCTCCGCCACCTCCGCATCCAATAGCGTCCCAGCGTTTCCGTGACGTCGCGGCCAACGCGCGAGAAGGGTCTTGCCTTTCTGTACGTATTTGCTTTATCTTTCGACTTTGACTTAGCATTGTGGAAGCCACGAGAGGGAGATTAGAGTTCCCCCCACCGACGGAAACAAATACGACCTTCGGGGATTAGCTTACCCCCCGATGGATACAAAGGCTGCTTTCAGGGGCTCGGTTCCCTCTCTGATGAATACAAAGGTCGCATTCTTAAAAAGTGGGATCGGAGACAAGTGGGAATCTATTGAAGCGGTACAAGGAGCGTTTCCAGTGAACTCTTCTTTCGACTGCGGAGAGATTTGAAACGGGCGCATCACGCTTGTGGGAGGAGCTTCTCCTACCTTCTTGACTTGTAACCGACTATAGCTACGACGGAGGCCCTAACAAGCGTCCCCTACTCCTCGCTAAGCCTTTTTGGACGAGCTTTTACTGACGCCCGAGATCTGTGCCGGGAACAGTGTGTCTGAAATTATCTCGGCATACTCAGGCAGGAAGAAAGCAAACACATAACAAATATTATGGCCATTAGCAGCCGTCAAATGCGCTTTGAATTCGTTCGAGCACTTGTCTGAAGAATGTCGCACCGTGCGCTGGACGGGCATGCATGAACCCCAATGCGGTGCGCATAGGGGTTCATGCCCGTCTGACGCACTACCGGCAAACGGTGTGACATTCTTCACACAAGTGCTCGACTTTTGCGTTCTTAAAACGGCCTGTATGCGCGAATTTGCCTATATGATTGCAGGATAACTTTATGCGCATACGCGATGTTGAATATTAGTGGAATGCAAGTGGGTGGGGACTTCACTTCGTGCAGTGCTGCGGGCCAGTACAGATAAGAGATAAGTGTGTTCAAATTGAGCTTTTCAATGGCACCTCCGAGTTTTACCTTGCGTACTCAGGCACATTAAGAAAAACAGTAATTGCAAAAAGTAATATTTCGTCTATGGACGCACGAAGTAAACTTCCTGATCAACAACACTAATGTAAAGGCGCTAGCTCGATGTATGCATACTTATAGGTTGCTACAGCCTGTTGATTCGTACACAAGCAAGATCCCCGAGCACCCGAGCTTCGCAGCGTCGAGACTCCCAGCACTGGCTCGTCCACATACCTCGATTGGAACGCTAACAGAAAGGCTCAAGTACAAAAATACGACAAGCTATACGTCTCGGGATTGTGCTAAAGCTTCGAGGTATGACCATTTAGGTTAGTTTAGAGACCACAAATGACGCTCTCGGGACCAGAAAACAATCCCTTGTCGACGTGTCGATCGAAACCGAAACCATGCCACCCTCCTCCCTGGCCAACTAGTTCCCAGAGTGCAACGCGCGCCGTGTTGCATGCAGGGCTTTATGGAAGTAGTCTATTGTTGCGCACAGTCGAGCGCCTTTATGCCTTTTACCAAAAATCCGAGCAGTGCTTGCACTCGGAGGCAGATGTGTCTGAGGTGGTTTGGATCTTGGGCGGGGGGGGGGGGGGGGGGGGGGGGGAGGGGAGGGGGAGGGGGAGGGGGAGGGGGAGGGGAGGGGAGGGGAGGGGAGGGGAGGGGAGGGGAGGGGAGGGGGAGGGGAGGGGAGGAGAGGAGGAGGGAGGAGGGGAGGGGGCTCCTTTTTGGTGGAGTTGAGCTTCTTTATTTTCGGAACAACATTTGACGAAGTGCCTGATAAACAGAGACTCAGCAATCAAGTTTGTGCATCAAGTCTGTCAATGAGTTGTGATTTTGCTAGCCATGCATCCTTGTTGTCAGCAATTGGCTTTTCCCCTGATACTTTTTAAAAACATCTTCCCGTTTAATTTGAGATTCGTATGTTCAAATAAAGTGCTTACTACGTTTCTTTCAAGCTGATCTAAATTCTCGATGGTAGACTTACCAAGCTCAGCGTGAGGCTCGTAGTGTTTTGTAGCAGTGTCGGTGCTTCGTAGCAGCTTAATACTGCGATATCCCAAGTAACAGCCGTCACCCCTGTGAGGGAATGATTTACACGAGAAACAAGTCTATGTATAGGATGACAAAAGGTAATTCAAGAGGGTTTAAAGGAACATATCCTATCGACGAGAATGAGCATCACTTTGTGATGAGTGAGTTTAGTTTCCTGTAATTTATTTCACCCTTAAAGGCCCATTTATGGTATTACATAGGGAGGGGCAATGCATAGAATAATACTATAGTGACACAAAACAGAAACAAAATTTACAAAAATAAAAACAGTGAAAGTTAAATATTTTCTCAATTTAAAGGGGCTAGTAGAAGGTTATAACATTTTGCTGCATCAGTGCTGCTAATGATAGAGGATGGCAGCTGGAATGGTTCATTAAATGCATTAGTTTTACTGGAAATTTGTTTAACTGAACGGGAGTTATTTAGGCGGGATGATATTCTATCGGGGGGAGGGAGGGGAGGGTGAGAGGAGAGAGGAGGGCACTTCTTAGCCCTGGGCAATGGTAGTAAATTTTATGAAGAAGGCAAAGGCAAGATTGTGGAATATTCGTACGAGGATAAGATGAATAATTTTTTTGGGGCTTACTCGAGATGATTAATTAAGTAGACTCGACGAGAGCCCCAGTCGATGGAAGTGTATTCTAATTGAGGTCTTCCAACGGTTTTGAAGGCCATCTTCAAGACATAGGATGGGGTGTCTCGTAAATTACGTCCGATAAGTCAGAGTGTCTGGGAAGTCTCCGCAGCAACGGCTTCGATGTGGGGTTTCCACGAAAGGCGTTAGTCTTATGCCAGGGCTTTTATACACTGAAACACCTTCAATCACATTTTTGTCAATAGTATACGGAAAGGTTCGAGAAGACATTCTATGAGAGAGTTGGATTAATTTGCACCCATCGTTAATTTCTATTGGGATCACTTTGAATTTCAAGATTATTGGTTTCTGATGCGGTTATGTTATAAATGACGCAATCATCCGCGAATAGACATATTTTACCAAAAATGTCTTGCGGAAGATTGTTAATGAAGATAAGAAAAAGCCCAAGAGTGGAACCCTGCGGTACTCCCGAGGTGACGTTAGTTAGGTTTGATTTAAAATTGTTAACGACCGTGTATTCCACACTAGATGCGAGGAATGTACTAATCCAAGAAAATATGAAGCGATCCGATTGCAGGAACAATAGTTTAGAAAGAAGATATTGACGCAGACTGTTCCTCATCAGTTGGTCCAATGCCGTCCACACCACGATTGGCACGCATGAATCATACACTCCTCGAAACCACGGCCATCTACCGTGCAAACAAATGATGCTGGAGCGACGCGGGGATGCAAGTTCATTTCCAAAACGAGGTCAGCTAGCAATATTGAAAGAGCCCACTTTGGAGAAAAGGGTCACGCAGACATCCCATTTAGGTGGAAGTCCTTCGGTTCTGCAGGGTGGGCAAGCTTGACTCAGTCTGCGTTTGCGCTCATGCAGCTCGCGCAAACAACATCAAAGTGATGTTTGGCCTTTTTGTCTTTGCTGCCGTAACATTTGCACGTTGTATTTTCTTTGACCGATTTCCTTTCTGGGTTGTATTGATATACCTGAGAAGGCATTTGGTGTTTAATTACAGTAGACTCTCATTAATTCTAACTCCAGGAAGTCACAGATTTTGGTTTGAGTTATTAGAAGCTTGAATTATCAGAAATTTATCTAAACACTTATGATACCAGACAGCATTATGATTTGTTACATGGATAGCTACTCATAAAAAGCAGATTTTTGCCAGTTTCCTTTACATAGGCCTAATTATAAGCAAGTACAGGCATGAGACATTGGTGAAAGAACTGAACTTTGTCTTTGTGGACTTCCAGAACACCGGGTGCGGACTACAGTCCGTAAAACGCATTTAGTGTACATCGGGTATTGCGAGGATATGGGAATACAGTAGACTCATTAATTCAAACTCCAAGAAGCCACGAATCTGGTTTAAATTATCGCAAGTTGGAATAATCAGAAATTCATCTAAATATAATGCAAGATAAAATTATGATATGTCATATGAATGACTACACATACAAAGCTGGTATTTAGTGATTTCCTCTCCAAACGACGATTTCCAAACGATGGCGTGTGCGCATTGGAGGCCTATGCAGCCGTAAAGCGACGACCCCAAGTAGCATGGCGGCAGCACCACTCCTGGAACGCGCGCGCCTGCTCAATTTACTCGGTGAGATCAGGAAGACCTTGCGGAAAGCAGCTGGACTTGGAGCGAATAGACCACCCCAAGACGGAGCTTTGCTTCACTTTATGTGACCACATTGATGGCGGCTGCGACATTTAGTTGCTACCCTAACCGAATAGAGCTTTCCAAGAGTCTGTGTCCCGATGGCCGCTGTATTTTGAAGTTTAACTATCGGAGGACAGAAGTGAAGCGAGCGCTGTGTCGGCTGGGACCGAATGCCAACGTAGCGTGCCTTCTCTGCCCTCCTCTCGCGAAATTCATCGCTACGATCGAGGTCCATGCTTGTGACGTATTCTCGAACACACAATCAGGCGATTTAATGTTGACAGGCTGTAAGACACACAAACAAAAAAGGATAAAAGAAGGTTTCTTCAGCTCTTCTCCTACTGCTTAGAGGCTTGCATTATTCTCTCGCATTCGTTTGTAAAGGCTGTCAAGCACTTCCGTTGCTCTGATTGGCTCCAGGGGTTTTTGCTCTTTTCCAAGTTTGAAAGGCCAATGGACCATTTCAGAAAATCGCTGGTTTGGGAGGTTCTGATGTGAAAATATGCGAACGTGTTCGACCGACTGAGCTTTGGTGACCTAAATTGGGCTTCCCCAAAGTCTCTCTTGCTCCTGTTGTGGCTTATCTTTTTGCCGTTTGTTCTAACACGCTTCCTACGTCTCACTCCTAATCCACACATTGTTTCATCATCAAAATCCTCGAACCCCGTTTTGTGCCAGGTGGCACCAGTTATTTCTAAAATGGTGGATCATTTAGACTTTCTGACCAAACTGGAGTCGGGTGGGTATCAATTTGTTACATTAGTCGCGTTAGGAACGACTCAATCCTGGGCTAAGCAACCCTATGTGAATTTTGTATGTTGAAGATGCAGAGCCAACGTTCTGCGTAAAGAGTGGCCGACGGTGCTTTTTTAATCTTTTGCCATCGTATCCATTCTGCATTGCAGGTGTGGGCACACGGAACTACTACCGCAAGTTGGGCTACGAACTGGATGGGCCCTACATGTCCAAGCAGCTTCCCACGGACCTTGTGAAGGGATAATAAAGATGGGACGTAAACCCCTAAGGGTCGTTCTATGTCTCAGAAAAATGCTTAGGCATCCATCCACATTCTCTGCTAACGTTGGTATCCGGGGTGTGGATGCGGCAAAGCCACTGATTGTGACACGGCTAAGCGGCTTTCTCACATCCCAACAATGGCATTGGGCGCCATCAAAAACGGCACCGGTCTCGTCGGATTACAATCATTCTGGACGTAATCGGAGGTCTGCCGAGCAAGGCCGTGAATGGCCGCCACCCCACCGGGGCGACCATCCACGTGGAAAGTCGTGACGCTTGGCACCAATCCTTCGTTTATTACGCAGGCATGCTTAGATCTTTCTCTTTACTGCCTCCTCTTTTGGGAATTCTCAATTACTGTTCTTGAGTTTATCGGTACCTAAACATGCGTCATTTGCAGCAAAAAAAACCCCAAAAAACAGCAATTTTATTGTTTTGTTAAATTACCCGAGGCTGGGGTGAGAAAGCCAGAAAACATTGAACCGTGGAAGAGAAAAAAAAAAAAAAAGGTGACAGGGAGGCTGAGATTTTGTCCTCCTGTCACCTTTTTCTCTTCCTTTCATGGTCTGATGTCTTCTGGCTTTCTCGCCCCAGTCTCTGGTAATTCAACAAAATAATACAATTGTACCAACTCCCCTGTGCTGTCACTGTAATTTCGTTGACGGGTAATTTTGTTGTTTTTCGGCTAGTCTCTGGCTTGATGGAAACCAGATGAGGTCTATTTGTAACATGGCGATTTGTCACAGGGCGTCCGGTGAAGGGGTATTCACACGTGGAAGAAATCCCTTTCGTCCCCGGGATGTGCATCATCTGGTAACAACGTCACGCTTTTGCGCAGAGCCGCGCAGACGTAGACATCCCAGGGGGAGGGGAAGCTTCTGCTGAAGCTGCACGAATGCTCCCCACCTTGGCGTGGGATCGCTTTGCAATTGGCGGTATTTTATTTGCGCATCTGGCACCTACGGGTTTTGCTCAGTGACATTGGCGTGATGCCGGCGGTGGCATCGGGATCGCCTAACTTGTGACTTGCGCTCTTGTGCACCTCGTCCGAGGCTCCCGAAGGGGCCTTCGATATTCATCACTGTCGTCCTCAAGCTGCTCTTCGTACAACTGGTCTTTGATTCCACTTCCTTTGTGTTGCATCCGCCCATTCGAGGAGCGTCTTTTTTTTAGCAGGAGGCAGTTCATCATCCTCTGCATCTAACAGCGCTGCTGCCATATGCGCATATCGCTGTTTCACGTACGCCTCCATTTTTCTACGCTTCTCAGCGCGCACCGAACCCCGTTGTTGAGAGTGTGACAGCTAAATACCTCTGATGACAGTGAATTTCCTCTAAGCTCCTGCCGTTTGTGTGATTTGCTCGAGTCGGGAAGGGACTACCGCTGGTTCCGCCGATCACTGACGTCACGAGTCAAGTGGAAGCTCCTCCCTCTCCTTTCCACTTTACTCTTAACCTGCCACCTACTATAGGGCCCGTTGTACCCTCTTATAATTCTGCTAAGTTTGTTTCGAAAATGGCACGATAGTTTCGTGGATAAATCGATTTCCTTGCCGGATCCTCGGATCCTCCCATTTGAAAAGCCTGCTGTGGTTGGCAATTGGTGACATCGCCTGTCCACCACACTGCGTCCCCTTGCATGCATTCACTGACTTGGCGTTTTGAGCTTCAGCCTTTTCAGCTTTCTCATTTACCTTCCGCATTTCGAGCATGCAGTCCACGATGATCACGTTTACGGAATCGCTTCCTTCGTCGAAGCCTTTGACACTCATCGCAGCATCGATGAGAGAGAGTATAATTTAATGAAGGCATCTAGGATGACCGGGTGTTCACCCTCGGGTGGTCCCTATGTCCGGGGTCCCATCAGCCTTGCATGCCTCATCGGCTAGGATAACCATTTTGTAAGGTTAACAGCGCAAGTTCAATCGCAGACACCGACACATTGTTAACCTTAGAACTTGCGCTGTTAACCTTAGAAAATGAATCACGAACTCTCCATTTTATTAGGATAGCCAGCTCACGCTGCTCCTCCGTGTTCAAGGCTCTGATGGTCATCGGCATACCAACATGGGGGACAAGGGGGGTGCTTGCCACCCCCCCCTGAAACAGCCGCCACTGGGCAGGGCAAACACTGGCAAGCGGCGCCCAAGGGACACCAGGGGCACTGCCTATCAGCCCTGGGAGGGGGGAAGGGGTCTGTTTGCCCCCCACTCAAAAACAAGTTGGTACGCAACTGCTGATGGTTGTCTTCCAGGAGCTGAGGCGGTTTTGAAGCCGTGCTGCGTCTTGTGGTTTTGGATGTTTCGGGAAGGACAGGACCATGTGGTAAATTGTGCCTCGGTTCTATTGACAGTTGGGGCATGTGGGTGAGGGGTAGAGCTGGGGGTAAAGCAGGTTGAGTCTTGATAGCATTGATTAAGTGTTGGTTTGGAGCAGGTACCACTTGACCTGTTCCTCTGTGTCAAGCGTATGATGATGTGGTGGTAGACTGTGCCGTTTCTCCCGATAGTAAGGGGTGATGTTCTTGTAGGTGGTGAGTAGGTGAGTGAGTCCGGTTGCTGATCTGGGTGTTTGTCCCCTGAAACCATGGCACGGGCATTAGCTTCTTCGCGTGCCAAGTAATGGGCTCGGGCATTACCCCTCACTTCAGTCTCAGTATGGGACGGAGTCCAGATGATGCCGATGGTCTGCTTCCCTTCACGTGGTTGGTGGGTGTCGAGGATTCGGTGAGCCTCCGGGAAATTGAGACCACATAAGTATGCCTGGCAGGCGTCTTGGGAGTCCGTGATGATGTAACGGAGGTGCTGGGTAATGGCCAGAGCAATAGTCACCTGCTCCCCTATCATGATTTCGTCTCCTATAGTTGTGTGTAGAGCTGTAACTTGTGAGGTATTTTGATCATTGTATGTTACGGCTACCACTTCACCGGCACTAACCAGGGCTGTGTATACTACGCTGTTAGGGGTTTTGTTTTGAAGCACCTTGTTGAGTGCTCTGGGACGTGCTTCTCGCCTTCCCTTCAACGTATCAAAATATTTGCTTTATATTTGAGGTGTCCAAGCTTCTTTGCGCATATATTCCCGCCGGTACAGCTAGCTAAGAGGGCAGCGCGCCCGTGGCCGAGCGGATATTGTGCTGTGGATACACCTTTTTGTTGTTTCTGTAAATGTGGCGCTCTGGTAAATTCGAGAACCGTATTGCTTATTCGAGGTTAGAATGTTCTACGCGCCGAACCTTCTGCGCCGATTGATCTACAAGTGACGTCGCGCTAGGGAACATCTAGGGAAGGACGGGACCCCGCACCATACTGGTGGTTGAGTTCACACCGCGCGGATGCGCTTAGCAAGGCGTAGGATGCCGCTATCGGTCCAGACATGCGCTAAAATACACCACATTTTCAACAAAGGTACCGTGAACTTAGAAAAACGTGCTGAGCTTACGATGATGACGTTTATCCAGTACGTGCGGAATTTTTCGGCATTTGTGCGATTGCCCTACGAGCAAAAAGTTTCGAAATGCCGCCGACGAAGTTTTGACGGGAAGGGCTGCCGTGTCGCCAAGAAAAGAACACAGCCTAACAGCACGCTTCATTATTTGACGAGTGGCTCTAGGAGTCGCTTGTAGAAAAATTGTTACGATTTTGCGAAATATTGGTAAACAACGCAATGTTACCGTCATAACCTTAACCCCGAGAAAAGGATAAATCAAATAGCGGACAAGAAACTCTCATCGTCTCTCAGGGCTTATATTATGATGTTATCCTAACCAGCTCCTCTGCATACTTTCGCTCCTTGCAAAGGTTACCGTCTCGCGGACGGCACAATCCGATGACCCGGCGGCGGCGGCTGGGCGAGCATGCACACGTGGGCCGCCGCCGACCGATCGCCCTCGGGCCGGGCTCGCGGCGCGTCACTCGCCCGGATTCGGGCGGGAGCCCCGGTGCGCTCGAAGCGTGAAAATGGCGTTATGCAACGAAGGTCAAAGGCCATACACACCACGAACGAGCAAAAACCGATGCAAAGGCGTGCGCGAACGTAAACAACGGTAGAAAAGTGCCGTCGTTCGCCGCTATGAAATGCGTCCCGCAAACATCGATAATCCGCGGCCGCATCCCTTTCCTGCCACTCGTACTTTCTTTAACTTGACGGCTACTCTGTCTCGCGGGGCATGCCGACGAAACGATCGGACGACCATCGGGGTACGGGTTAATTGCTACAGCCCGAGCGCAGCGCAGTTTACCATTGCTCTCGCTGCGAAGGGCCGTCGAGTCAACCACCAGCATGGTAGACACCGGTGTTTGACGTCATCATGTGACGTACGGACGTACGTGCTAGGCATGTACCACCGTACCACAGTAACTGTGGCATGTACCCTGTTTGGCCAGAGCCGTATATTGGGAGAGTCTAGCTGCAACCTGTTGGTTTGGCTACGGTCACTAAATAAGCTACGCTTAAAAGTAACAACACTGTCAAGGACGTTTAAATAGGGCAGGACCCGGCATAACGTCATACCAAGCAACGCCGGAAAAAGAACCCAGTCTCAGGCTGCCTTGCGCACCGACGCGCCGGGCACGACGCGCTCTCCCATCGTCTGATCCGTGCCTACTGCCGGTTTCGTCTGCTCGCTGTTGCAGCTGGCTTTCAATTCGATCGACGTATCAAAAGATGTTTCAATGCGAACCCGCGTTCTCCTCACGGCAGAGTGAAACCAACACCTTCTGGAAGCAGGGTTTGTACGGCTCTCTCAACCCACGGTGCCATTCTCAGCGTTTGTCTGTACGACGACTGACATGCGATCGCTTTCCAAAGCCACGCTATGACGACTGGTTCTAGACAACGCTCCAGGCGCAGTGTCGAGAGCATCCGCTACACGCCGACTTCCTACTGGTCAGGCAAGTGTTGGGCTCCAGATCTCGCCTGTTTGACACCAATTCAGTGGGCGCCGCCATGAAATTATGGGGCAAACAACAGCGTTGCCACGGAAATGCCATGGCAACGAGGGTTGTTTG